CACCAAGCTACCGAGATCCTACTTGGTGAAGACCGACATGAGCACATTGCGACGTAATCGGTCTGCTCTAGTTCCAACCAGTTTGAAGCCAGCCTTTCCCTCTGTAGCCTAACTGTCGCACCTCGCGATCACGCACTGCCCGTGGACCAAACACCTCCAAAGGTTTCTACCCATGTGCGAGAGAATCTACCGGCTGAACCTTCAACACCTGCCGGATCCACAACAGCTGTGTCAACCCAAGAAGGCCAACCGAACACTGGGAACTCTCTTATGGAGCGTGTTACACGCTCAGGACGAGTAGTAAAACCGCCACAACGGCTAGATCTGTGAACATTTAACAAAGCGAACTTGCCTTGAACTGTGTACACAGAGTTAGCACTCAAACTTTGGGGGGAGATGTTGGATTAGTTGTTCATTATATCAGACTTCCGGTTTTCTAGTTATAAGACCCCGTTGAATCTTGGGTCCGTGTGCTTTTCGGGATCCACCATCTTGTTCACTTCTTGAATTGTATGTCTTGCATGCGGAATAAATCCTTGCTTCGAAGCCTAAATATTACAAATACCAAGATAGTAAAATTAGAATATGGTATGCAGCCTTTCAATATGGCGGACGGGTTGGAATTTGGCCAACAGCGGTACGTGAAAGAGAGAACTGACTTGACAACGTGACCTCCTTATCCGCTCGCTGACAAGACGTGATGATGATGATAATGACAACGACGGTCACGACGATGACGAAAGTAATGACGAAATCAAAACTAGTTTATTTCATTCAACATAGCGTGGTGGAACTGTACACGAAACTTCTAACAGTTTACAGGCGCCCTCCATTCCCATGCTTCGCGATTTTCCTTTGTTTCACTGTTTGCCAGTATCAAATGACTGCCAATATATTTATGTGCACGTGGCTACTCTGATTATGGCTGGTTTGCATGGTCCCGCCATATCAAATAAAAATCGTAACCATTCAATAATTTAAGCCAAAAAGCTGGGATAAAAAAGATGATTATTGATATACAAACAGCCTCGCCAAGATTTAGGTCTGTGTGGTTTCACATTTATAGAGCTTTGCATGGTGTGACCATGTTTGTACCCCTCGAAGGGACACAAACATGGCGGCCGTAAACATCTGTCATTGAGTTTTGCCGTTGAAACGAAAATTTATTACTCTAGAACTCCGACACATTGAAATTAATACTTCGTCTAGAGCAAGAACTGTTTAGTTAGCAAAAACTTGAACAGTAACGCATCTTTTGACCTACTCGAGAGCCTTATCGGGCCGCCATTTTATTGTCACGCAACGCATAAACTTGGAAATTCAGACGTGCTCTGTTACACAATGAGGAATCCTGTCGGGTTTAAACGTTGCAAACGTCAATTTATTAGAGGGTCTTACATTTGACGAAGCTAAAACTTTAGAAAAATTGGTAATTTTGTATTTTGGGAAATGATGACCTCACATGAAAACCGGCAATTTTGATGCAAACCTGAACAGTTAAGGATCTCATTCAGTAGTATTCTTACCAGTATCTTACCTTACTATATTTTACTGGTATCTCAACCTATGTTATCTTACAGGTATTTTTAGCGATATCTCATGTGCAATATCGAAAGCTGAAAGAGCTTGTGTTGTGTTTACAAATACTGACATGACTGACACTCAAGCCAGTGACGTCTGTCTTTATCTTTATGACACCTTACCTGAAGACCTGCGTCCTTTCTTGCAACTTCCGCCCGAGCTGTTTGTAAAACTGATGGAATATCGCTCACTTATTCACTCCAAAGAGTTGTTAACCTCGAGATATGTTACTGATACAAATAATTAGTAATTGGACTTCGTGTCTTTTACAGCATGTGATCCTCATTTTGACATAGCACATTCGTATTACATTCTAACATTTTCAAGCGTTTGAGTCCTATTACAGACAAAACTACCAGCAACAACTGAAATCAGGCGTTTTAGAATTTTCAGCCGCACTCGGCGCATGACACACTTTTGGCGTTTTAGCCGTCCTCGCACACGAACCTTCTACCAGTTTGTCGGTGCACCATCCATTAGCATGCTAAACGATCTACCGTAAAAGGCACTTTAAATTTTCGTTTGGATCTAAAACATTTTGTCGTGAATGTCGGTTCCAATGAATTTTTCATCAAGCGTGTATACATGTCTTAAGATCTTCATTGGATTTGTCGTCAACTTACTTCGTCTTTAAGGTTTTTACAAACACATGGCCTGTTTAATTAATGAACCTTACACACTGACCAGTGACATTTACTTCCTGGTTTTATTCTAATCAGTTATTGGCTTAAGTCATGACACACGTATAAATTTGAACTATATATTTCCTGTTCAAAAAAAAAAGCCTGCCTCAAGGGAGGCAGCGTGGCCGAGTGGTTTAGGGCGCTGGATTTGAAATCTGGAGGTCCCTGGTTCAAATCCTCCACCCTACCACTCTCTGGATTTGTCCTCGGTAGCCCCGAGTTCAACTCCTCGACCGCGTTGTGTAAATACCCAACTGGTCAGCCTCCCACCAGTTGGGATTCTTAATAGTTTATGTTATATTTGAAATATTTGTTTATTTATTTAGTGTCCCCAATTAGGACATTAGTGCTAAATACATCGACACAAAGTGATTATTATTTTTTATTATTATTCGTTTGCCGAGGATTGTCATTGTAGTAAGTAATATTAAGAACTCATTTTGGCCAACGTGATCTACAGTAGTTGGTGAGGCAAGTGATCCACAGCGACGAGAAAGAAAACAGCTGAAAACAGTTTGTATGTCAAACGCTTGCTGAGTAGTTTAAGGAAACTTGAGTCAACTATCATGAAGCAATCACTTTGTGAGTTGCTGCTGGATTACCTCCCAAGAATCTCCGAAGTTGAGGACTTCGTTTCTACTTCCATCGCTAATTGTGTCTTCAACAGTTTTCTGTCCTATACCGCCATCATGTTGAACATTGTATCAATCCACGCAATAAGAAAAACGTCGTCGTTGCCAAAGACTTTAAAAACATTGCTCCTGAGTCTTGCTGTTTCTGATGTTAGTGTTGGTTTATTGGTCCAGCCATTTTACACCTCACTTCTGATCAAGTTGTCACAAGAACACACCCCTGGCTGTGACACGCATAAGGCTTTTTACTTCATTGGACATTTATTTTCCTTGGCTTCCTTCTTGGGTGTTTTGGCTGTAAGTGTAGACAGGTTCTTAGCTATTCATCTTCATCTCAGATATCAGGAACTTGTGACTCACCAGCGTGTTGTTGCTGTGGCGATTTCAATATGGGTGTTAAGCCTATTTGTTTCTTTTTTATTGTTTTGGGTTCCACTCGATATTTACTCACTTATCGTAGCATCTATTGCAGTTGGTGGTCTTGTTCTTACAACAATGATTTACATCAGGATTTATTTAGCCGCACGACGACACAAGAATCAGATTCAGGTCCTGCAAGTACAACAAGTAACACAGGCTAACGAAATAGCAAATTTTGCTAGCCTCATGAAATCTGCGATCGGTATATTTTATGTATATGTTGTGTTTCTAATTTGTTATTTGCCTTACGTTATCGGTTTGGCCGTTTTTGAGATAGTAGGCTCAAATATTACTTTGAAGAAACTTTATTTCTCCTTCTCGACAATCGTCTTTCTGAATTCGTCTTTGAATCCTGTAATTTACTGCTGGAAAATGAGAAACATTCGACAGGCCGTCATAAACATATTGCGGAACATGTCTTGGTTCAGAGATCGCGCATCACTTGCATCGACCGGCAATACTACACTGTGATTCAGTGTCGTCGTTGCAGTCCACAAAGGCCTTATGTACAACTGCAGATAGTGTTAACCTGGGCTGTTTTAGTCGAAGGAAATCGGATATAAACTGAGTAAATGAATATCTTAAAATACTGAAAAAATTATGTTGTTAATTATTTTATATATTTTTTGAACTGAGCTCAATGGCTGTGCGCTCGTTACTCTCCGAGGCACAACGCGTTGAACACAATTTTTATATCGGTGAGAGATAACAAAAGAGCGGTATTTGTTAACTTGTTTTAATACATACGTGTTATCTTTATGTATTCCCTTATTTCTCCTCGTCCTTTTACCTATACAGCTTGGGACTGCAGCTGTCCATTTTCCATTATAATATCAGGACAGTTTCTTACGAGCCTTGTGATTGGTTAATAAAACTCGCACCACGTGCTCTGACTATAGCTAATGTGAATGTTCCCATTTGACTTTATACTTCAGTCTGTCAGAACATGGCAGGTTTCAGGTTTACCGTCGATTAATATTCAAAAACTAAAAAACCATTTCTTTTGCATACAGGTTTCTCGATATTTCATTTTCAATGAGTCCTGCAGGATTTACACAGAATTTCAACCTTCGCACTTATGTCCAATCAATTGCGCTAACCCAGGTAACTGATCTTTATTCATTAGAACAGTGTAACTGGAAATATATATTTTTGCCTCCCGATCATCAAAAATGCAGATTCATGTCTTGCTTTTCCCAGTTCTTGACAGGCGGGACGGTGTTGTTGTTAAGACTTTTATTCTGTTTTCGTTTGATTTTATTCTTTTCAATTCTTCTCGTGTTTTTGAAAAGGAACGAGCGATCTCCGTTATCTTATCAACAAAATGGACTGCTTGTTTTCATGTCAAAACATCCGGCAGAAAGAGCGACTCCTCGAATATTTATTCTTCGCTTATGACCATCACGTGGTACAAGTACGTAATCCTTGCCCACCCTTATATAGCTGTATATGTTCTCTTTAGCATCATTTCACTTAATAAACTTTTCCCTCACTCAGGTTTACTATGGGATAAAATAAATCTAAGTTTAGAATGATTTAACCCAAACGCTTATCTTAGTAGTGAACAAACCCGGGTATTAGAGGCTAAACTCGCGAAACCGAGCTAGACGGCTTGATATGTTGGCCCGCTTCACGCCACCTGAAACAACAGCACGTCATTCTCGCTTCAATGGTGTGGAGTTTACAGGGTGCCAGTGTATAAACTGTGTTTTGTAACTCAAATTTTTAAGATTAGGGCTAGTTGCTCTTAGGAGTATTTTATATTTTAATTCTGATTTTATCTTAGCGAATATAGTAATTGTAAGTAGTAATGTCATATTAAATAGTCATGCTCTTAGGAATATTTTTAATTTTAATTCTGAATTTTTCTTAGCGAAT